TCGTTAGTGCATCTCATAGCGAATATTCGCCACCCTATATAGTATACATATATCTCTCGGAATATATATTTCTCGATTTGCTCATTGTTGACTTTCTAACATTTGTTCATTAATGTTGTGCACATTTGTACTTATTTGAACATGAATATGACTAGTACACTGGGAAAAAGTTTATGCTAAATAGAATATTAGTGATGCCTTCGCGAAACGTTCTACTACTAGTTTCTCTCAGTGTAAAATTGCGCCGCTTGGCGATCCCACAACCCACCATGTGGTGAAATGAGCGCCACAATTAGCAACAAATGCGTAGCCCCTACACTGAGTATCGCCGATCGCCACCGAAGACGACAGCGAGCTCCCCTAGATTTAAATTAAATCCATTAGCAGTTCGTGTTTGGAGGCTTGCGCTGTCGGCTGGTCGCCTAGTCGGGGCTCGACAATTAATTTTTTCCATGCGATTGTGTTTGGCGGCGTGGGTGCGTGGCCTAAAGGCGCTTCGGTCGAAGCAAACAATGTGACTCGCAGTAGTGCCGATTGTGCCTGGAAATCGCTGCCGAGAGGCGTTCGACGTCATTAGTGATGTCCCCAAGTGCCGGCAATTAAAATCGATTTGTCCCTCCCTCGCTTCAGGGAGCCTGCAACGCGATGCGTTTCTTAATTGAAAGCCCAGTGCAGAATTAAAGCAAATAGAGCGGAAGCACACTGTGTCGTGGTAGTCGTTGTGATGGAAATGTTCCAGGTGGGCGGACCAGGACCAGAAGGTGCCTGTAGTGCCGGTGATGCCGTTAACGAATCCGAGGCCTTGGCGGCCTGCGATTATTATTATGAGCACACCGAGGACGAGGGAATTGGCGGTAAGCAGCGCAGGGATCTAGAAAGCCTAGATACTCTAGAGAGTATTCCTCGGAGAACAGTGATTGATTTGGCAAAACAAACGCACAGTTTGCGAAAACTGTCATTGAACTATTTATGCAAAATTAACAAATTATTATTTCATGCAATGGCAGGACTAAGCCCCTCTGGTTTCAACACAATTTCAAATGCTGAAGACTAAACAAAACATAACATATAAATAACTAATGTCTAGCATATGGGAATATTTTGAATTGAATATATTTATTAACTCAGAAAAGTTAAAAATATTCAGAACAGTCCGGAACGAATAACAAGCATGGTGTCTGGTGGTCAATATTTACTTAAGATAATTTCTTATTATTTCTTATATCACCCACTCATTAGCTTTCCAGTCATGAAGCTTTTCTGTGGTCTACTCAATGGTGAGACTGATATTTTACAGTATATCCATGTGTACGAAAACCGCGAAATTTGTACATAAAGCAATCATAGCACTCTTCAAAGTTATTCAAAAGCCTCATACATATGTATGTAATAATTAATTGGACGGTTTTGGTACATATTGCATTATTTTCGATCGGCTGGCTTTTGCTCTGTTTGTATAGCCAGAGCGGAAAATGTTTTCGTGCACAACTTGGCTAAAAATAATCATTAGAACTTGAGCCAAAAACGAAGAGTGTTTAAAGGCTTATTTGGCCGTCGAAAAAGATAGAAGAAAACAAATGGAAGTGCGCCAAGCGACGACACTGCGACCTTGAGCGTGCGTGGCTCTGGCAAATAATACAACTGGGAATGAAAAACAATGCCCAGTTGTAATGGGTGAAATGAAAATCTGTGCCCGATGTGCCATAAATCCCTCAATATGTGTATCTTTCATCGCCGGACTGCCTGTGCGGAGGGATTCCCTCCCCGAAATGATTGACATTCAGCAGAAATCGATGTATCCGGTTGAGGGAGGCTGCCCTTCTGGCCCTCTTTTCGGAAAATTGTTTACAATCACCCGGCCATTGGTCTCTTTTTTTACCAAACATGCATAATTTAGTGCAAATATGTTTACGTTCAGTGTCATTAGGGTCTGTCGGTAATTAATTCGATGGCATTTCCATCTGTTGTTCTCAATATTGTTTAGGATCGTGGTGTTCGGCGCTTCCGGCTAATTAAAAGTGGGTTTATGTGGTGGCCACAATTTTAATAAAGCTCTTTATTCGAATTCTTTGTTAAACATGTCAAGTGCCTCGCACTCTGGCCAGCCACTTGAGAGTGTTCTGCCTCGATGCTAAAATATTTTGTTTTTGAGGCAATTAAAGCAAGGCAGAGCACAGATACCCAACCCAATCCCTCATCCCAACCAGCATCTGAATCTGGAAAGCCAGTAGCCGTCGCGTCGACCTAAGCGCGAAATAAAACAGATCCTAAGATACAGATACATGTACAGATACAGGCAAGTCGTCGCTTAGTTTGCCAGACAAGTGAAGTGATTTTTGCTCGGCTGGCCTCTCCAAAACGCAACTAATTGAAATGCCAGTTGCCAGTTTGGACTGGCTGTTGTTCGATTTAATTACGCGCATTTTCATTGGACATGTTTTTGTGGGTCGCCATGGGTTAAGCCAGCCTCGGCCACTGCCGAGATTTGAAAACTCGCTAAAAAGGCAAGAGCAACATGCAGCAGCGACTGCAACAGGCAGCTGCCTAATGCCAAATAAGATATTTCGGAATTTCAATTATTTCCCATCGCCCAGTGCAGGCTGGCCGTCTGTCGGCTGTCCACCTGGCCGCTCAGTGTCACCTCCACCCAGCCCACTGTGCACACATGTCGAGTTTGGTCGAAAGGCCTGAATCTCAAACTCAAAACCCAAACCCAAACCCAAACCCAAACCCAAACCCAAACCCAAACCCGAGTCATTATGAGCTCGGCTGACCGAATGCGAACGCGGGACATTGAATGCTATGGGTGCCCCGGTGATGGTGATTGATCTCGAATGGCGGCGAGTCTTCCACCTGGTGGATGCTACGCAGCTTGCTGCACTGTCACTGCTCAAGGTGCAAATACTGTTACCAGGGAAATCCTCCAGACGAGCGGCTTTCTTTTGGCTCGGCAGCTGGAAACACATGCGACTGGCCAGAGCCAACGAAACCGGCAATTCGTTTATGTTAAATTACTATTCAAAAAATAGCTTTCCATTACATTGTCATTATCTAAATTGAAGCTTGTAAACTTTGCTGTAAATCAAAAGGAAAATCATTGCAGAGATGCTACTCAATCAACGTTTTCAACAATTCATTGGCAATTATTCATCTTGTGTTGAGTACTTTCCTTCAGAGCAAATAAATATATCTTCCAAGCACAACTATTCAATTGAATTTATGTCGAATGAGATACTCAATTTTATAGACTTCGGATGTCATAAACTAAATATACAATCGATGGGAAAATCCACTTGCCCAGCCAACACTTTTCACACCAGCACGACGAAAGTCCCCGAGGAGAAGATTTCTGAATGAAACACTCCCGCGGCTGAGTTTTTCCAAGACCCTAAAAATCGTAGTGCAGGAAAGTCTGGGAAGCGGCGGGAATACATCGCGAATTGTCACAACTTCTGAGGTGGTCGGTTTCTCAGTCGTAAAATCAACCCGTCGCCGCGAGAGGTCCGTCCCGCCGCACGGGAGATCCTGTCAGCAACTTGTTGCGATTCGACAGGGACAACACCGGGCCGTGAGAACATTCCGGTGGACACTATAGGGAAAATCCTGAAAAATATGCCAGGGAAGCGAGCAGATATTCGCTGGCCTTGCAATTAATTGGTCGTAGCTAATGTCGTTTAATCGCTTAATTGCCATGAGAAATGTCCCCTAATTGCCAAATGAGCCTGTCGTGTGCCAGACTTGTCCGCGTCGCTCGCGCGTCGTGTGTCGTTGGGGTTTTTCCGATTGCGACGGGGCCAAGGTGAAGGTCTTACATTAATAATTATTAATTATGTTTTCTCGGAATCTATTCGAACGAATTTCTTGCCAAGTGAACTTGTTTTCCCTGCAGCAGAAACACTTTTAAATTCTCAAGGAATCTAATTCACGTGTTCAATCCCCCGCCCATTCAGTATTATTCGGAACTCTGATATACAATCATATACCTAGTCCATTCAATCGTATACAGATCCATACACAAGAGAATAACCAATATTGTTGGGAAAAATTATTTTTGAGAAAGCCATTTTATGTCACAATCATAATTTTCCTTTCAACCTACTCTTATGTTCATGTGGATCTATAATGTAGCTGTAATATTAAAACATCCCGGGGTAACGATCTCGGTGACAACTCCGGAAGACGAACCCCACTTTTTTAATGGAGACACCAAACAAATTTCGCTCACTGCTTGCCCCTCTGCGGCCGAATAGGAAACTTGTGCAAACATTGACAACTTAGTGTGTCCGCTCGGCTTCGGCCATAAATTTATGCGGTAACATAAAACCGTCAGCCGTTGATTATGGCCTCCTTGGATTTGGCTGCTCTTTTCCATTTTTTCTTTGGCCGCAGATCGGTTTGGCGCATGGCTTGTAAGGAAATCCAGTAAATTATGGACAAGCACACATGAGTTGTGGCTGATCGATGCTCGGATCACAGCGGTTAGTGAACTGGGCACCACCCCCTCCCTTCTGACCAATCTGCAAACACGTTTACTCGCTCCCCACCCCTCTGAGCCAGTCTTGGCTTGTTGGCCGAAAAATTGGCCACGCATCCTCTCTAATTGACGGACCCCCCATTGGGGGGTGATTGCTGGCAATTGATGATGACGTTGGACCGCCTCTGACCCGGGGCGTGGCACATCTTGCGCCCGGAGCGTGATGGCTTTCCCTTTTGTCAATGGAATTATGCAAAAAGTTAATTTGCTGCTATCGCGGATTTGTCATTTTTTCACTGCCATGAAGTAATGCCTCTTTTTGCCCTTTCCAGCAGAGGTTGGACTCGGAGTTGGGTGACTCACGGTTAGCTCACCATCGTTAGTTCGTCTTCAAATGACAGCGAGATCTCTATTCACGGGATAATGAGCAAAGACTTTCGCCGTTGAATTGCACAACCATTGAATTGAACCGCCTGGGGCATCTACATGTGACTAATACTTTCAATTTTATTGTTTACCTTTTCAGAATCCCTGCGATCTGGCGTGGATCAAACCGAACTAAGGGAACTGAACAGGGTGTCCCCCAAAAATGGCTGCCCCACTCCGCCCATGGCACGCGACTCCAAGCGGGCCTCCATTGGCTGCGAGCTGCTCTTTGAGACTGAGGCAAAGCTCAAGAAGTGTGAGGAGCAGGTTCCCCAACCTGATGTGGCAAGTATTACGCCCCCGGAGACATCAGATTGCGATCCGAAGGCTCCCGAAAAGGAGCTCAAGTCCAATGGAATCAATAGTCAGGAGAGTACAAGTCAGCAGGTGAGTTGGTATAAGTAGATACTTAAGTAGATAACCTACTAAATTATGATTAAAAGGTGTTCAATGACAAAAGAAAAAATAATAAATCTTAAGAATATTTTATTTACTTTGACCTTCTCAAGCTTGTAGATAGCTAGATAGCTCTACTAGATAGCTTGTTATGGTTAATTCCGGTAGGATTTGAATAATTAACAAGAAAAGTAAACGGTTGGATTTAATTGAATTAGTAATAACTTAAGTGGTTCAATGTTAAAAAGTTAAATCAAACTGAATTTATTGGGTCTCCTTAATCAGCGGCAGAAATATATTGTTTATAGTATTATTCAACAACTGTAATCTCCAAGAATCCTAATTTATATCTATTCCTTTAACAGCCCAGCTCAGAGGACGCAATTGAAGAAGTGGGTCAGACCATAAGCTCAATGACGATGGTTGCCGCGCCCCCCTTGGACATAACCGACCAGTACCCCGCCCTGAAGCCCTACTCGGAAAACGGAAAAGTGGACTTATGCCGGCTGGCCAAGTTCTGCGAGAACAACCAGTTAGAGCGGCGGGAGGAGCACCGGCAGATCCTGGGACTCGCTGTCATGGTCCAGTTCATGTCCCAAGAGGTAAGTAGAAGAAGAGTAGCGAGTAAAGGCCAGCGCGAAGCAGGATCAATGAGGGATCAAAGCAGGCGCCAGGGATTTGTACCTAGCCCTTTGGAGGGAATAGTGCCCGAGATTCGAATTTCAATTGTCCACCGCGTATGTGAATTTCGGGTTCACCTGCTCTAATAATTCCCGAATGACCCAGCCCTTCCACATGTGAGCCCTCCATTGTCTCATATTTGCCTTAATCTGTGCTTAAAGTTGAGCTAATTTCGTTTAATTGTGCCAGTGCAGGCTAAGCCGAAACTGCAAACTGAACACTGGGCACTGAGAATGGGAAACTGAATCCAAGCCGATGCCCGAAATTGAGCCGGGATGTGGGCTCGTTCTTTTTGTTTGCACTAATTAAAAACTCTCCTGAAAATTCCCTACACAAAAGTTTCCTTGCCGAAAAATCCCCAGTCCATGCCGGCACCCCTTCCCTGGGTTTCGGGTCCTTTGTACTCGAAATTCTTTCTCCGCCGGACAAAGTGAAAGGGTGTGAGGCGGCGACACATTCTAGTTCATCTACATGGCACGCCATCCTTTCAATTAATTGTTTGCCATTTTCGGTGTAAAGGATTCTGATCGCACAATTGAAGATTCGCCAGGACACGTGTGAGTTTTAGCGAGATTTCCATCTCAAAGCAAATGGAAAATATTTCAAAATCTTCCCTGATTTATTACTTTTTTTCACAATTTTACCTGCTGGTGTGCGGAGGCTCCTCGGTCCTCTATTAAATACCTATATATAGCAAGGTCATAAAAATAGGCGACGAACGCGAGAAACATTATTTAAACATTTGCATATGCTGAAGATCCTCTTGAAATTCAGGCACATAAATCGATTTCAAATGACTTCTCTACCGCAACTCCGTTAGGGAAAGACTATCGGTTGTACTTTTATATAAACGACAGATTAGAAGCAGGATGATTCCAGCAGCCTGCAGAGAGACAATTGCGTAAATCCGTTCTTGGTTAGAAAAATTTCCGGAATAATCAAAACAATTGCCGCCAGGATATTCAGCTGTTTTCCAACTGCCTTCCTACTTTCTTATGCAAGCTGAAAGTGACACAATACCTGAAATGTGAAAAGATAAATCCATTCTCTGACAATACGTGTCTTCAGCTGGTGGCATTATGCCATCGTCATTTGTGTTGGCCATTTGCGAGCATTTAGCTTCTCTTTGAGGCTCTGAAATTAAAGTCGGCAATGTGGAGAAGTATTCCGCAATCCCTTAAGCTGGTGCCGAGTATTCACTGGCCTGAGCTGGGGGAATTATATAGGAAGCTGTAATCGGAAGTTGTGGAAACAATGTTTTAAATGTTTGATCCTCAAGAAAGATCCTAAGTCATCGAATCATTGTTAAACATGTGTCACTGTATATCATTTAAATCTTGAGAAAACTTGTCAAGCGTTAATCACTTCAGAATTGACTGTCAAAATATTTTCGTGGGTTTTCTTGGCGCTTACACGTGTTTTAATTCAATTTGTATGTTTTTTCTACTCATTTCCGTATTTATTTTATGCACTCTTGGAAAAAACAAACCCCGTTTAGTACTCCTTTTGCAAACATGGCTGTTAAGGGGAATTACGGGATAGACGACCGCAGTGTTTGCCAAGCGGATGCTGGCCGGTAGCCGCAGGCCGCAGGATATGCAAATAGAAACATGCGGTGGATTGTTTATTCTGCTCGGGTGGAAATTTCGGGGAACGTGGCAATCGCGCAACATTTCCCTCTAAAAGCCTAAACTTATGTTGCAACAGTCGGAACATAAATATTTATTTAAATATGATCCAGCAAGATTTCACAATTTGGTGTGAAAACCGAGGAAACACAACCGGCAAGGTACCCGTATATTGCTTGGGACAAGGACGAAAAGGACCTAGCTCGTGATAGGTTAATTTTTATGAGTTCGCTGCCAAACCGAAGGCCAACATTGGGCCTTCGATGCTTCTCGATCTAGAACAGATCGAACAGAGCCCAGCTTTAGAATCGCCTCGATTGCCGACAGAAGGATTAAATCCAGTCGAACGAGTCTCTCGGCGGCAAGTCACTAATTTCAACACTTTAATTGCGAACGTCCTTGTCAGGTAATTGCCGCTGTCTTCGATGTCTTGACTGGCTGTCCATTTGACTGTCGCCCGAAATGCACCGGTCTGAGTCCGGCCGAGACATAGATTTCGCCAGAGACATCGAGACATGATGGCTATTAATTTCTGGACGAAACCGGGCGTGGCTATAGCAATTTACAAATCATTTGGCATCGGCCAGAGGTTGGCATTCTTCATTTTGGGGGACAGAATTCAGCCAGGCGTCTGCACCTAATCCAATTTTTTGGCCAAAATGTCATTCAGAGAAAGACCCTATTAATAGGCCATTAAACTCACGCATTATACATTCTTGAATTTAGTTCAATATTAACATTTGAACTCAATTTCGGAAAAGCCAAGTACTTTTTCAATATTTAATACTTTTATTAATATAATCGAACTTTCAACTTTTTTAAGCAATTGAACGCCAGACTTGTATTGGAACCGTTTTTGCTTAAATTAGATATTCACATCACACCGCATGTTATGGGAACTATTTTTTATTTATTTTTATACCTGGTACTCGTTGGTTTGTTTAACTGATTCGCATCAGTTACTCCCCTGAAATCTGCAATTTTCGAGACATTTTTCGATTGGTAACATCCACTTGAAAGCCATTTGATGTAGTTCATCTCCACCCACATCCTCTATATGTGAGGAGGGTCGAGGCGCTCGGGATTTCGACACGCATCCTCCCAAAGTGTTGCACGCGAGGTGCGCGCCATTACTGTGAATTTGAAGTGTAGAGGGCCGCCCCAAATGCGTAGGAAACAGGAAAAGGGTTCCCACCTTCGGAAGGCCAGACGCGTGACCAATGTCGGTGGGTTGATCCCAAACCACATGGTCTTGGCCGGCTAGATCGCTAAGCCTAGCTGGGTGGGTCGCTGGCGAAGATTTTTCCCGGGTGTGACCCGGTTTCGGACCGCCCCTTTTGCCTTGGCCACCGAGGGATACACCCACGTTGCATGGTTGTTTTTTCTTCCGTCATATTTCAGCTAGAGCAAACCCTTTTCCCAGCATGTTTTAGATGTGAGTTTTTATTTGAGCCATCTCTCGCAAATCCGTTGCAAATATTTGGCTCGCCATATCCGGAGAGCTCGTCTGATCCGCCTTACCTGGCAGGAAATCTGTCTCGTGTCCCTTTTGCCTTTCCCTCCTACCTGCCCCGGCCGTCTATAAAACCAGATGGCCGAGCGGAACAGTCATCAGTCTACTGCAAGTATTCGTGTTCAACACATCGCACAAACGTGAGAAAAATGTTCGAAAATCTAGTGTTCACCAACGAGAAGTTGTCTGCGCAGACCATGGATTTTGATTTGATTAGCTGGACGGTGCCGAGCACTCCCACAAACACCACATTTATGGATAACATAAACTTTGCCCAGGGCTTTGAACAACATGAGGTATGTTCTCCACAGGAAGTACTTCTTGATTGCACCACTTTACCGTGGAATGATTTTATTCAAATTTTGGAACAGACAGTTCCCATTTCCGATTTTTAATTTATTTCATAAACAAATTTGCAATTGATTTGTTTAAATCCCGATGTACTCCCAAGAAATGCTCCCAAACACAAGCTCCCCGGCTAATCGTGAAAAGTTGCCATTTGGTTTATGGTGTGAGATTTTAGGAAAGGTACACACCTTTTGGATGTGACCCTCGAACCTCTCTCATTGTTCCTGGGGAAATTCCCCGGCTCAGAGCTCGGAGACATTGTCTTCTCGAGATTGCCACTCAAATGTCATCTTTTGTGCGACTTCCGCGCAAAACTCTTCAGCCGAAGATGAAATTTCGTTTTAATTGCGTGGGACTACCTGCGAACTTTATAGCCGGCTTTATAGCGACTTCTAACCCCGATTGTTTACCTTTATTTGCGACCTGCAGCTAGATGCGTTTTCGTGCAAGGAGACCAAAGAGAAATGTGCCCGCGCCAAGGGAACTCTGGAGGATACGATCGTTCTGCTGCAGCAAACACAGAGGGACTGCGAGAAGCTGCGGGAGGAACTGCATGCCAAAGACCTCGAATGGGCGCAGCGGCAGCAGGAAAGGGAGCTCCTGCATCGCGATGAACTGAAGCAAGGTAAGAACAGGAACACATTCTTGTATTAACTAGCAACGACTAATCTGTTTTTTTCACAGCCGAGGAGAAACTCTTCGAGGTGCAAATGCTGGCCAAGAGACAGTTCCGCGAACTGGAGTCCCAACTGCTGTCTAAAGACGAGGAGAACAAGCAGGTACAGGATGCCTACCACACAGAAGTCTCGCACAAAATCAGTTTAAAACAGGAGCAGTTGTCCAGTGCCGAGTCAAAGGTGCTGGAGCTGCAATCACGCCTTCAGAAGCTAGAGTCGCTCGATCAGGAGAACCGTGAGAAGCTCATCCGTAACGAAAACACACATGCCGCCCGCCTGGCCGAGTCGAACCAACGCGAGCAGGATCTGACCGATCAGGTCAAGGCTCTCACGAAGGAGCTAAATACCCTAAAAACCAGCAAGGAGCACAGTGAACGCGATCTGCGCGACCGTCTGGCTCTCTCCCAGGACGAGATCTCTGTCCTGCGCACATCCTCCCAGCGCCGCAGTCCCATCACCAGTCTGCCGGACTCCTCCAGTGCCGAGCTGATACGGCTGACCAGCGAGGCGGACAGCCTGCGGTGCGTCCTGGAGCTGAAGCAGGCCGAGATCTCCAACCTCACAAAGGCCAATGCTGACCTGGTCCGCGTGAACGAGGAGCGCATAAAGCTGAGCAATCGGGTGGCCCTGCTAGAGTCCCAGAACGAGATGCTGCGCAGTGAACTGGATACCAAGGCCGACAAAGAAAAGTAAGTAGCTGATGATCTTCTATATGAATTAGAGACGGAGACTAAGGTTCCTACTAACTTCCTACTAACTGTGGTTTTTTGCGAAATATATAATTAACTGGAATCTCTTTTTCTTTTATCAGGGACATCCATCAGAAGATGGAGGAGCTCCAGAAAGCCTACAGCTACGAGAATTTCAAGCGCAAGCGGCTCACCTTCGACAAGGAGGAGCTGCAGTACACTCTAAAGCAGCGTTCGGAGCAGCTACAGGCGGCGGAGGCCAAATTGTTCGAGATCTCGCAGGACAGCAGTCTGCTCGGTTCTCACGGGCGCTGTTCTTCCGGCCGCAGCACCCTGGCCATTAGCGGCACTGAAACCAATTCCTCACCCACCTCACCGATTATGAAGGGCATGATCGAGCGCAACGACTCGGTCAGCTGGACGCTGGAGATCGAGGACGAGGCTTCCAAGGGCGGGGCATCGAAAATCGTTCGCCGATCGGGATCCTTGAGGAGCAACAACGAGCAGCCAAGGTTTGCCCCCATACAGCGCCGCCAAATTTCAGGCAGTAACGGTCACTCCAACGGACTGGCCAGCAACGGAGGCAATCCGCTCAGCCAAAGCATGTCGGCCACGGCCCTTCAGAGGGGTGAGCAGGAGGGACGGCCACTTTCTCGCACTCGCTCCCATTCTATGTGCATCAAGGCCTCCGGGTCAACTTGCGATTCTCCGCAGCGGAAGAACCGCTCGCGGCAGTCCGAGGAACTTAACCTGGCCGATTGGAACGAGTCGCGCGATGCTGGACAGCCAATGTGCTCCAGTTCGCCGAAACAGTCAAATGCCGAAATGCATCCGCGCAGCTCGACTATGAAGCTGATGAACAGCGAGGTTAAGAAGTTCCAGGAGATCCAGGAGTCGGCCGGAGAGGCCATGGTCTCTGGCGCCAATTCGGAGGACGAGAGCTGCTCGGCCTCCTCGGAGGATATGATGCGCTCCTCCGCTTCCAGCACCGCTTCGGTGGGATCCCTCACCAAGCGGCCCAAGCAGCCTCCTTCGCGGATGTCCATTGAGGAGGCCCTGCCCTGCTGCACCCCTATGGAGGTCAGCTGGTCGGAGGATGCCGCCGATGCTGCCGCCAGTGGGTTGGCATGACATGGTGGTGCCTTCGAGGACGAGGCGCAGGCCGTGGAGCAAGTAGCCGAGGCAGCGGAAGAGGCTTACGAGTTAGAGGAATATACCCACAGGGAACAGTTTCTGGAGGAGGACGAGGATGAACTTGTCGTCGGTGAAGAGGAGGAGGAGGATGACCCGCCCGAGAACAGCGAAAGCGATGATAGCTTTTAAAGCGCCTTTCCAGGATTTTGTAAAACAAATATATGCCTAATACTGAAGGCATTGGGTGGAATAAAGCAAAGCTTAACGTTTATATAGCACCGGTATCATTGATGGATATATAAAATACAGACGATTCGTACGTTCTTATTCTGAAGTGTTTGTGTAAATAATGCATTTAGCAGTACGGTAGCTCATAGAAGGCGCTCATCTATACAATTATAAATAATATTAATACTACAGTTGTCGAGCACAGCAGGCGGAGCCGTCTCAGTGAGGAGGGGTAAACAAATAGGAGGGGAGTACATTTTTTAACCACAAGCTAAACCAAGTTTAGAGCGTATACAAGCTACACAGTAAACTTAAAAACGTTTCAAACTTAAGATACAACAGTAATGGGTAGCATTTATCTGAAGCAGTATGAATATTCGCAAAACAAACTATATGTATCTGTACGGTTAGCGATCTGATATTGATATTGTATTCTAATCGCAACGTGTTACCCGGCTAGCTCCCCAAAAATAAATCCCTCGATTTAAATCTTAATGCCCACTGCGGTGTAACAATACCAATTTAGAACGTCTGAGGTGGTGGACTCGCCCCCACCCTCCGACCTAAGCTTTAATTTCTCGTATTTGTGTAAAGATCCTAGATATACTTATATTTATTATTTAGTCTCTAATGCCTTATGAAAAGAAAGAAATCCAATTAAATTAGTTTGTACTCGCTATCTGAATATGAATTTCGTATTAGTTCTCTAGCCTAACTACATTAGTTTACGTTATGTTTTTATATTGTTATCATTGGATTGTGTCCGGAATGTGCGAGTTTTATATGTATAGGTTCGGGATCCGCTAACTCTGTAAAACGCAGCATTGTCATTATTTTTAAGTATGTTATTTTATTGTGTGTCAGAAAATAGGAGTTCCAGCATCTGTCTTAAATGTATTTTTCCCAGATATCCTGCAGAAATGAAAATATAAATAAACACAACTCTACCATTTAAAACTACTTACTACGTTTTTTTGCTAAATAGTTTCCATCTAAATTCAAATAATAAATAAGTAAACTGTTTCAGATATGGAAGATTTTTATTGGGTTAAAAACTTGTCTTGGGGAACCTTTTATATTATATACATATATTGTTTCACGAAAGAGCCATTTATATTTATTTATAAAATATGTTAAATTGGAGAATAATTGTTATTTGTAAATATTTAATATTTATTTTAAATTCAATATTAGATGTTCTACGTTGTTTTCAAATCTGACAAGAAAGGATAAAACCGGATATATATCGCAAACATCGGTTGTAGTTGGCCGATCCTTATAAGAATATCATAATATAACCATAACCAGAATATCCTAATGGTATTACAATATCAAATCTAAAAAAAAAGTCCCAAGCTGCTTCTATCTTCAAAAACACGAAAGTTAGGGCCATGATACAATTAAAACAAGAAAGGAAAGCTAACTTCGGGCGGAGCCGAAGTTTATATACCCTTGCAGTTAAAACCGGATATATATCGCAAACATCGGATATAGTTGGCCGATCCTTATGGGAATAGGAATATATAATCCAATTTATTACAATACAAAATCTAAAAAAAGTCCCAAACTTCTATCTTCAAAAATACGAAAGTTGATATTTCTACCAAATACCATTTCCGATCGTTCAGTTATATGGCAGCTATGGGATATAGTCGGCCGATCCTAATTAAATTTGGTAGGTTGGGTCAACTGACCAAAAATAGAATCTGTATTAAATTCCAGCTTTCTATCTTCAAAAACACGAAAGTTGGGTCATTTCCGATCGTTCAGTTATATGGCAGCTATAGGATATAGTCGTCCGATCCTTATGAAATTTGGCATGTCGTAATGTTTTGCTAAAAATAGCTCTCGTGTCAAATTTGAACTCTCTAACTCTAAAAACACCAAAGTTATACCATTTCCGATCAATCAGTTATATGGCAGCTATAGGATATAGTCGGCCGATCCCGGTCGTTCCGACTTATATACTGCGTGCAAAGGAAAGAAGGGTGTGTGCAAAGTTTCAAGTCGATAGCTTTAAAACTGAGAGACTAGTTCGCGTAGAAACAGACAGACAGACAGACGGACAGACGGACAGACGGACAGACGGACAGACGGACATGCTCATATCAACTCAGGAGGTGATCCTGATCAAGAATATATATACTTTATAGGGTCGGAGATGTCTCCTTCACTGCGTTGCACACTTTTGGACAAAATTATAATACCCTCTGCAAGGGTATAATTAATAATTACAATTATTATACTTGTATCATGGTTAGGGCATTCCGATTTTTATATATAGGCTTCTCTGATACAGCTATATCGGCTGATCGTCCGATCCTTATTAAATTTTGGTATAATTTTGCCAAATATAGCATGTGCACATTTTTGACAAAAAGTATAATACCCTCTGTAAGAGTATAAATATAACTTAAACAGTATAATAATTTAAAGAAGAAAGGACGGCTATGGCAGAGTTTCCCTAGTTTATCCGGTTCTCATATCTTTAAACCCCACTTTAACTAACCTTTCAACTTTAAAGTTTAAAGTTTAAACTAACGGTAGGGATTCTGAGCAACAAATTTTGCTTTTGTTTCATACTCTTACTCTATGTATCTAGTATCCCCAACTAAGCTCCCCTACTATCCCCTACGGTATCCCAGTAGGAGCAGAATAAAAAGCGTATATACATACTTTTACACTGCAGAATATACACAGTATACCTTCTCTAAAAAATATCCGATTTAGCTTTTTTGATTAGCCTCTAAAAGCAGTTTTTTTTAAATTTATTAATTTTAGAGCAACAAATATGCAACAAAAATACGTTTTGGGCGTAAATCGGGGTTTTTGACTTTCAAGTGCATTTAAAATCGAAAAAAAGGCTCACCTGCTTTATATGAGGAATCTTGGCCCTTTAACTAATGCAATTAAATTTGTTCATTTAAGATGATTCTGTGACCAGTTATCGTGTAAGCCGCAAAATTTATTTTCTTCTAGGCGCCGCAAAAGATTGCCTGTATCTCACTCAATTTTTAATATTTTTGGGTGAAAAATTTCACACATGTTTAAATATTGCCCTATCACATACAAAATTTAGCTAAGACTATACGTACCGCCAATAAAAATTCTGAAAAAAATTGATTTCAGAATTAGATAGATTTTTCACTTAGGTAACTATACCCCCCTTAAAGTATATTTTAAAAATTGCGCCATTAAAATAACACTGTTTTCTAACACTAAAAATAGATTTCAGGGCTGGAAGCACACGTTTTAATTTTAAGTGTTAGAAAGCAAGCGAATAATGTAACTCCATAATGTTAGTGTTTGACAACGTTGCGGAGTCCCAAGAGATCAAAAATGATAAGTAAAACTCGAAAATTAGCAGCATCGCTGATTAGATTCAATCATAACACCTTGCGTAATAATGAAGCGCCAGACCTGGGACCAAATGCGCCACATCTTCGCCCAGGCGGTGAGCGCAGTGCACCCTGAGAAGATATTCGCCGACTTCCAGCGTTTCGACCTACGGCCGCAAAGATCGGCGGATAATCCCAGCGAAATCCTCATCAAATTGAATGGAAAAACTGAGAATATTGGCGACAGGAGGTGCCACGTTGTGGGCTTTGGTAAGGCGGTTCTGGGAATGGCCCACAAGGTACACCAGGACCTGGGCCAATTATCCGCAGGCGGAGTAATAAGTGTCCCCAAGGGCACCCTGAAAAACTATCAGCAACCTATTGACTCCAGCCTTAAAATCTTCGAGGGAGCACCCAACAATTTGCCAGATGAGGAAGCCCTCAAGGCTGCGCAGGAGATCAAGAATCTTGCCTTAAATATGACGCCTCAGGATGTGCTGTTTGTATTCGTTTCCGGCGGTGGCTCTGCCTTGTTGCCCTTACCCCGCTCTCCTTTGACTCTGGAGGACAAACGTAGCATATCCGACAAGCTAATGAAACGGGGAGCCAGCATCCAAGAGATTAATACCGTGAGAATTGCATGCTCGGATATTAAAGGCGGCCGCCTCGCCCGATTCGCCAAAAATGCAGGGCTCGTAGTGACCCTTGTTCTCAGCGATATCATTGGAGATCCTTTGGAATTGATAGCCTGTGGACCCACGGTACGTCCTGTGCCTGGAGTCACTGCTGCAGAAGTTTTGCAAAAACATAAAGTCTGGAATGAACTGTCCCCCGAAATACAGAAACTTTTTGAGATCCCGGAATTGGATGAGGACACATTGCCAAAGAAGGAAAAGGTGTTTGTAGTGGGCAGCAATGTGTTAGCCACGGAAAGGGCTTCCCAAGAGGCGAGAAAGCTTGGTTACATTCCCTGCATCTTAAGTTGTTCTGTCCATGGAGATGTGGCACAAGTGGCTAACGACTATCATCGACTTTTGCAAGGAGTCCTAGAATCCAAACATGAAATTGACGAGCGTCAGCTGCGACAAAAGTATGCGTTTGGGGATAACAGCTTTCCGGGATTTATAGAAGCCTTGAAGGAGCATTTAAGCTCGAAGAGGCCCCTGTTTCTCATATGCGGCGGCGAGCCGGTCATAAAAGTTTGTAGTTTATCCTTTATAAAGAACATAGCTAATCCATCTTTCCATATTGTAGGTGACTGGCCAAGGTCTGGGAGGACGCAGCCAGCATTTGGCTTTGCTAATGTCGCAGATTCTGCATCGGGACGAGGCGTTACGGGAGTGCAGCTTCTTTAGTGCAGGAACAGATGGCATTGATGGGCCCACAGATGCAGCCGGAGCTATAGGAGACAGCCAGGTGGTTGTTTCCTTTTTGAGCAGCCACACCCTGGACGAATTGGCCGAAACAGTGCGAAACTGCGACAGCTACAACTTCTACAGGACTCTGGAGGATGGAAATTACCACGTGCTCACTGGCCACACGGGTACCAATGTGATGGATATGCACTTTGTGGTCGTTCCATAGTCCACATATTGTTTTTTTTTAATGTAGCTCTCGATGCTCTTGAACCGCAGACAGGCAATAATCGTTTAAATTTGTTTTTACGATTTTCCTCTTTAATTTTGCTCTATGAAATTTTTACGACTTTTTTCATTAACGCTTTTAATATCCATTCAAATTCAAATAATTTTGTGATCTTTATGCTCCAAGCAGCTCTCAAGTGACAGCATAAAATGGCAATTAGTTTCCCACTTTCTGCGTCCATTTCATTGGGTTATGTATTAAGGCTTGATTATAATTATGTGGCGTTTATGGCCACAATAAAGCACGAGTACGCGAATATGTGTATATATTTTATATTAGAAATTCCCATTCAATTTCCATTTCTCTTGTACTGCGACTCATAAAAATTTGCTGCTAATAAATCATCTTAATTGTTTTAAACGCCAAACGGCAAACAGTAGCACTGGCGGGCAACTACAACAATTGCCAGCGATAATTGCAATTAAAAATGTTAATTTATTTGCTTCGTTTATTTTTAGCAGCTGGAAAACTAAAACGCGACGCGCGCCCAGTTGCAATTTAGCAATTTTAACTAACACTTTGGCTGCATATTTTCCTAATTGCGATTGTTTTCCCGCTCGCCATTCTGCCGTTTCTATTTATACTTCTATTTTTATCAACGAATCTTATTGTTTACTCAAAACTGTACTCGTGTAATTATTTTGCCGCGCATTTGCCACAATTATTAAATAATCGCATTCGCCAGTTTCTCGCTCGCGATGTCTCTTTCTCTGTGCTATTTTCGCTCGATTGGGTTTGTTATTAACTATTGTTCATTCGGCAAAAACAACAGCATCAGTACTTGCTGTTTGTACTCTCACTAACTGCCCCCGGAGATGACTAACTGCTGGTTCCTTGGAAACTGCAGTATGACAAATATCAGGCCAGTACTGCGCCGCATAAGCTCGTCAGTCTCCGAGACGCTAGTCCCGGGCTATCGATGTCATCCGGTGGTGTATTGATTTATGGAGTTCAGGCTATTGTAGTGAATAATTATGAATACAAAAACATAAGGAATTCATACACTTTCATAAAGACTTTTGTGTTAATATTTGCCTTAAAAGAACAAATTATCCTTTAAGAACAAATATGATGCGCTAAAAAACATTTTAAAACCGTTAAAATATTGTAAGCTTAAGGACAATTGAATTAGGAGTTTTATTCGTTTAATTTAGAACTAGAAACTGAGACTTATAAACATTGTAACTAAACCTAATTATGCTGCAGATAAAATACATTTTTTTTTTGAGTACGTATGAACGGTAATAAATAACTTTATTTCCTTTGGGACACCCGCAGTTTCCAAGTGTGTAACTTCCAAGAGAAAAACAAACTTCTTTCTTGTCTCATAAGATAAGAACTAACCTGGGTTTGATCTGTAAGTTGACCAGCTCATGTACATATGTATGTACGGACGCACATAATCTACTAGGGATTGCCTCCAATTAAGACTACAGACCGATATCGCTGGCTGGCGATAGAACTACTTCCGCTTCCGTTTTGGAGATAGAGATGTCATCAGTGAAGGCAGCTATATTTGAAATATTTTCATAGCAAGTGACCAGTATCGGTGATGCCTCCCTCTGCCCACTGGCAGCAGAGCAGCTGTGGAATGCCACGACAATTTGTCTGCCCGTGCATGGCAACAATCTCGGCGAGCATCGCATCCCGGGCCGGGTGGCGTGGAGCGAAGAAGATACGGCCACGGAGTGCAAGTGTCGCGTTGATTTATTAATTAAGCATTGGAGCGCGGCTGCTGAGCGGCTGGGTAGCTGAAACGCGTGGCGAAGCTGCCTGGATGATGCTAATGAAGTACTCGCTGGAAATTTTAATTAACAATCCCCGATTCGATCATGGCGCAGCATAGAATCTTCCTCGCCCAGATGTGTGTTGACTTATGACATCACACCCAAATCGAAGACACCGAGAAGCGGCACGGGCGGCACCAGCTGCCTGCCACCAGCGATCATTGCCAGACAAACCGACGACACTTATCACAGGTCCACTCATACACATACCAACAACCAGCCCGTGCACACACCATACGCGTTCAGCCACACTCGCACAATATTGCGCATACGCCGCGTGGCCCCGAAGCTAACAATTAAACATTGTTCGCCGCCCGGCGGAATACATACATTTGGCTCGTTCGCTGGTCTGCTCTCAATTTGTCTAGACAATGGCAAAGTTCACTCCCAATAAATATAATATAGGCAGAGTTCAATTAGCGCTAATGTCACATGTCTTAGTTGGAAAATACTCATAGGATAAAAAATTGGGAACGGAGGAAAGGTCTTCATAAATCATCTGACTAAGTCTCTGAGTGAGTCACGACTAAATGGAATCTCTTAATTTAAAGCAGATGTGCGGGCAGACTTCCTGGGGAACTTTAGGGGTACAGTGAACTCTTCTGCCACTGAACTTGACACAGAAGTATGCTAAGTATTCGACTTAATTGACCAATCTGGCAATAAAATGTGAATGTTCATTTCGGAATTTAAATGCAATTTAATTTTTATTTTTATTTTTCATTATTTGAAGAAAAGGTCGTCATTTTGGCAACTACATATTTTCTAGAAAGTTGGTTTCTTTTGATTCTCCTTTTACGATCTCTAATTTTTAAGCTTTCTGTCGCACAAAAAATTATTCTTACAAAAAAAGAAACAATTGATTAATATTTCATTAAAATAATTTTATTGTTTCAGAAATGATTTTAATCCCACTCAACCTTTTGCCATGTTGCATCATGGCATTCGGCCAACTAATGCTTATTGAGGCAATTATCCCTAACCGATGCAGCCTCTCGAACAGACTCTTCTGAGCCAAGTTGCCATTTATCAAAAGCACTGATCTCCCCACATGCCGAATAGGCAGCTTAATGTCAATCGCCCTTGCTGGGCGCTGAGCACTCCGTCGCTGCTTTGGCTTTGGGCTATTAATGCATTACAAATAGGTGCGGCAGACCACAACATCAGCAGCAGCATCAGCATCAGCAACAGAAGCAGCACCATCTGCAACCTCAAAAGCAACAACACTGAGTGCAACTTGCTCTCAGACGCCGCGGTGCCGTTGACCAACGTGACTGCGTTTGAGATTACAGGGGCTACCTGAAAAGCAAAAGGAAAAAACAAAATAAAGTGAGACCCACGAGCACCAACGGCAGCAGCAACAGCCGTGGCAGCAGACGACCTCAGCACAATCGAGTTGCTACGCTCTGGAGCAACTACTGCAACATGTAACATCCACAAGTCCAGAAGCAGTTCAAGTTTGCGCCAAGGAATTCCTTGCCGCTGAAATAATTAAGCATTGCAACATTGTTTATTGTTGCTGTTGTTGTTGTAGCCACTGGCACTGCCGCTGCTGGGGTGTTGCAGGCTCGTTTAACAAGGCAGCCAAGTTCTCAACAAGTGCCTCCTCCTGTTCTACAAGTTTTTGCCACAATTTTCTGTTGTTTTTGCTGCAGCAGTCAGTGCCACACTAAGGAATTTCCATTTTATTTACATGTAGAATGCGCCGAGCGGACTCGTCGCATGTAAAGCGGGCCAAATCGAAAGCTATTAGACCTATTAGCATATCGGCCATGGGACATGGAGAATTTAGTGGCAACAATGTTGCTGTCGCGGCCGATAAACGCACTGCAGTCCTCGAAACAGGCAGCTTATATCAACTGGGCCATTTTCAATTGTTTCCGCACCAATGTGCTGCAAGTTAGCATGCTGGTCAATAGTTGTGATTACCCAGAAAAATTGTCAAAATATTGCTGTGATTGCTGGGTTCGGTCCACAGGTAAGGTTAATTGTCACATCCCCCAAGCTCTGATTGTGTTGCTACTGAAATGCGGCGATTTCCTCCGACTGTGCCGCCCGGCCATAGCCAACAAAAGCTGCTGCCACCACCTAGTACGTATGTAGTCGTACGATTGACTTGGCAAGGAAAACATCAAGAAATAACAACTAGACAACTAGTAAAAATTTTCCATAACCTCAAAAAAATGCGGCGGCTATTTTTAAAATGCGCAATCTGTGAGATGCGTGCGGCTGTCCAGTTGCCCCTCTGTCTGTCGATGCCGCCAGCTGTGTGCCAAGACATCTCAGCCTCCTCCCACCCGCATTAGGCCTCTGGCCCTCTGGAGCCCCTCCAGAGCCCTCACTTGCTCTGCGTTGTCTGCGTTTATTGATTTATTAGAAAATTCCAATGAACAAGTTTTAATACACGACACACCGAACGATGAAGTCGATGTTGTCAGCATGCTTGTTGCGCTTTTTCCTCTCCTCCTGTGCTGTGTTTGTTGCTATTTGTGGGGAGCTGGAGCAAAAAAAAGAAAGGTGGAATAGAGTTGGTGGTGGTGGGGAGGGGGGAAACGAATCAGGGGGGACGGGAAAAAGTAACAAGTGCAATATTTTAATTACGGTGCGGAAGCACCACTATAATCGCAAGATCACCAGCGTAAATTAAATGAGAAACTCTGGCTTCCCTGAAGCCTGAGCATCTGGTGAGGGTATACGGGGCGTATGGTTAATGTTGCAAACGAGGGAATGCCTTTTAGGCAATAATAAAAGAACACTATTACAGATAGTATTTAGTTTTAAGTTCATTTAGATTATTTATGTATATTTTAAGGACCTTAACTTTGCGATAAGTATTTCAAATAAATACGTACAGGGCCCTACATTATAGAGCAACTAAACGTTGTAGAACTACACTGCTCCGAGGCATTTTGCAATCAATTTAGATTTAGATTAAAGATTTGCCTAGCACTGGCTTAGTACGGAGAGCCAAAAATAGACTGAACCAGTTAAGACAAAGCCAAAAAACAAAAGTGTATCAGCTCTCTTTTTGGTGCTAGGTTGTGCCGGAGAGACCCGAAGAAAGTCAACCCATGATCGGAGATTCGAAGCCTCCGCTCGACCGCGAGAGTGGAAATATTGTAATTTTCTTCGGCTGGCCGAGTGACTTGTTTGTTTTTGTTATTGTTATTGCTGCCTTAGCCGTTGCTTGTTGTTTTTTTTCGGCTTGATTAATAATTAATCGCACTCACACCAGCTGCGGCTCGCACACAGGCTCGTATACATGCACGTGGGGCACGAACATACATGTAAATCGGACGCCTGCCTTAATTACTCAACTTAAATGGCGCTTTGAGCGACTTAAGCAGCTTGATACTGGAAGACCGCTCGGTGGTGTGTGTTGGCGATTGACTCTCACTACTACGCGCTCAAAACTAACTAACTAGCTCGCCACGGTTGCTGTTATACTGGTGGTATTGCTGTTGCGGCTGCTGCTGCTGATGTTGTTGCTGCTGCTGTTGCTGTTGCTATTGCTGTTGCTGTTGCTGTTGGTGTTGTGATGCTGTGCTGTTGCTGCTGCTGCTCAGCTCGGCTGAGACTCCGGCTCGCTTTTGCTTTTGCCTGCCTGTTTGCCTTGCCTCGGCCGCTTTGGACGCTCATTCAGTTTTTTGCGCTCAACGCTCGTTGTACGGAACCGAAAAAGCGTTCGTCGCCAAATCTCGAATCACATAAAAAACATAAACAAATCCCGTGGCTGGATACTTTTCATAAAATAATAATATATTTTTGTTCTGTTGTAATCGTTTTGCGGTTTTGGGCTGTAAACCAGCAAAAAGTCAAGCAAAATACCCGATAGTAGATAGTCTGGTAAACAGCTCTTGGAGTTCTCTCGCTTCTCGTCGCGTTTCCGCGATTGTAGCCCCAGTCGTCGTTTTCGCCTCCGTCTTCGTCACCAGCGTTGTTGATTCTGATACCGATTCCGATTCTGATTCCAATTCCGATTCCCATTCCGAATCCCACTCCGATTCTAAATGCGAATAAAGTAAAGTTGGTGCCCAACTGCCCATCCATTGTGAGTGCCAGTGGGTCAGAGTGTGTGTGAGATGTATCTGTGTGTGCCAAATCCGAAAAGCAAATAGCCAAAAGTCTTGGCTGGTGGCGACAACCATGTGAAGTGATTACCATAAGCACCGAAATTGAATCGAAACCTCAAGAAAGTATACACAACGCAGTATCTGGTGGATGTTGGATATCTCACTCGGCCAATCTGCGATCGCCTATATAATGTATGCAACGTTCGCGAACTGCCAGAATTGGTTGTTGTTGCAGTTGCAGCCAAAGGACTTGTGGATTTTGGACCATAACTGAGACTTCGGCGTGCATAGGTGCACCAGGTAAGCCAGCCCGGGAGCAAAGCTAAAAATGCGCATACGCCATGGTGGCTGCGTGTCCAATTCGCGATCAATCGTCAATTGCACGACAATCGGGCAGTTTAGCAAAACGAATTGCCCAGCTGACTGAGAAACTGGAAACTGCCACGGGATAGATCTCATATGTTATGAATATGATTCATTGTGAGGACCAGCCAAGGAAGATAAGCTCATAGCAGATCCGTGTTTAATGAAAGAATTCATATTAAAAAGCAGGGAGATATATAAGCAAAGGGTAAAAATATACATAATTGTTTAAATTGTTTTTTTTTTTCAAAATCTGAAAGAGTTAATGACATAAAGGTATGTTTACGTTTCAGTTTCCGAACAATTTTGATAACAAATTCTTATTCGACACATTCGTTTGTAAATCTCGTCCGTCAAACTGGTCCACTAGTTTTGTAAGATATCTCCCCGGGCCAAAGTGAAATTCTGTCACATTGTCGCCAAACCCAGAGCCAGACCCAGAGCTGGAGCCAGAGCCCAGTGCATATCGCCAGCAATGGTGTCGGTTGAATATTCATATGGGGGCATTGGATGAACTAAATCAACGGCATTCCACACAAATCACAATTAGCAGTTGACACTGACATTGGCCATGGTAGAAACCCTTTGACCGTGCCATATAGTTGTTAATTTATGACGCCATTTGGTTAATTGAATAATTATATGTGACTGGCTGGGCGTGGCGGGCTGGGATACATTTTGTTATGGATTTGACACCGATCACGATTGCATAAGTCACCGACAAGACCGAGACCGAGATCCCACACACTCGGTATCAGATCGGATCGGCATTACAATCAGAATCGAAATCGTAAACGGAATCTGTATCGAGTTACCTCTGTCAGCTGATTTGATTTGCTAATCGATTATATCGCAAGTGGTAGAAGGGACGGGGCTGGGCTTAGTCGGTGTTAAAGTTCACCCACGACGCTACATTAAATTATTAATAGTGCTGGATATATGCTTTCGAGTTTAATAGATAGCTAAGAGAGGCGCAAAAATAGATAGAAACAAGAAAGGACGACCATATCGGCTATATCGACTCGGCTGGTGATGCTGATCAAGCATATCTATATTTTATGGGGTCGGTAATGATTCTCTATGTTACATACATTCACCCGACACAATATACCCTTGTACTCTACGAGTACCGAGTATAATAAAACCCAATAACAAAACTAAGCAACCGCAGAAACAGAAAGATCGCAGCACCAACAGCAAAAGCAACATCAACAGCTGATGAAGAGACCATGAAGGTCTACCACTTTCGGAAATTCGACAAAAATGAAATAAAAATCGTGAGCACGCAATGAAGCAGCCAAGTTGGAGCTGGGTCTTCCATCTCCATCAGCATCAGCATCTCCATCTCCAAGTTGGCCCGGCAAATCACGTTGCTGATAACAACAACTAAGCAATGCGGCAATAATTTGCTGCCCAACCCCGCCCCACCTCTGCTGGCCAAGTTAAGTGGCTACTGGTCATCAGCAGGCAGCAAGTAACTGGCTTAGGCCAGCATTTTTTATCAAAAGTGGTGGTATTAGCTCCACTCCGTGCCCCTTTTCCAAACGAAACTGGTCACTCCACTAGGCCCGGGGGGCAGGTCGGGGCGACCGGGCAAGGGGGCAACGGGAGCACCAACACTCAGCCGAGTCTCCCAATAGTTTCACTTATTTTACACGCATTTCTTAACGATAAATAAATTCCACAAGCAGATGAACAACCACTCGGTCAGCAACAACTTTTGCTATCACGTTTCCATGCAAACAACACACAGTCTTAAAAATATTTTCATCGGCATTCGCTTGTACTTGAATTGCAAAAGGGGGGCCAGTGGAAGGGTTGGGGGCTGCTGCAGGGGTATCCAGCGACAGGTGGCAACTGCAACTAATGCTCAGGTGCTAGAGCTCAGTGTGGACTTTGCCCCTCCAGTCCACCAGTCCGGGCACCCGGTCCACTGGCAACGTGTCTGCCGTTTGGGCCATTCTCGGTGGCAAATTTTCCGCCTGATGTGGCGCCCCAAGGCAATTGAAAATGATATCCGATATTGCTGGCTGCCGTTCGATAGGTTTATGGGCTAAATAGAGTCACGCCTTGACTCGATTCGCCGCCGTTGCACAAGAAGTGGCTCGAGAGTTGATCTAGGAATCTATTTTTATCTAATTTCCGCCCATACATGGATTTGTCATAAAGTAATTCGTTAATTGTTAAGAGTTTTGGGAGGATTTTGATGCATTTATACATTATGGATATCATTGAATTAAATATTTTTTAAGTTATATCATATTTACTCTTATTAGATAACTATCTAGTTGTCCAGACTAATTCTAAAAGAGATTAATACTATTTTCTTTGTGCAAGGATTCAGCCTAAACCTTACCACTTTTTGGTAGGCTTATGACTTTTAAGCGTTCTCTTTATTTTCTTTCATTATACTATTATTATAGCCTCTACACCTCTTATAGTCTCTCACATGCTCCTTCACCGTTGCTTTGCTGCTATCGAAACTTTTGTACATATTTGTTAAAAAAATGTTTTTGAGTCCCATCACTGTCTCAAGCGATCGTAACAATTTGCTTAATTTCTATGCTAAGCGAAGATGAATGAACTCGAATCCAAGGTGGCCCCACACCAAGATTGGCAACATCTCTGTCTGCCAAATCGTAAACTGATCAGATGTGATTTTTATTTTATTTCTCACAAAAAGAATTATATTGTATAAGGTCATCCTCTTCAGAACCTGGCCATACAGGTTTGCCGAAAGATGCTAACCATTGTAGTTTCTCTGGCCCCCCGCCCCGGTGAGCAGCTTCTTCTTTGGGCCACACGGCGTATACTTGATGTGCCAGCCAGTTGCTTTTGAGCGCTCGCTTTTGCTCCGGCCTTTCTCCGCCCCAGCCCTCTGCTCGACACTGAATTCTCCTAAATATTGTATCAGTTTCTTAGATATGTTATTATTATACTGTATGATTTATCATGTCTGACACTTGGGCCAAACCACTTGTCAAATCAGAAATAGCAGCGCCAACGACAACGAAAACGACAACACGCTGTGATTTTAGATAAATTCATAACTCAAGCCCAACTTGTCTTGCCTTCAAAGTTCAAATCACTTGGCACCACTCACTCACACCCATACGCACACTCGCTCGAACTCGAACACACACTCGCCGACTTGAACGCGCTGGTGTGGGTACTTTATTTTAATTATTTATTTATGCGTTATTTTTGCGCGCGTTCGTTCGATAAGCCTGAAATGGAGAGACACCATTTACATTTACAGTTATATCTGGCGGGCGGGGTGGGGGCTCACACGCTGTTTGTTTTCATTCCGAGCTTGTATTATCTCGCCTCGGCTGGGAGCGTTTTGAGGAAGCTGCCACAAATCAGCTGTTGCCGATGGCGAGCTTTAATTTAGCGAGCTTGGAGTCGCCATTAGAGCCGGCTAAACGATAACAACCACCCTCCGATTCCCGAGGGGTTGGATTCTGTTTTAATTGTATGTTTTATTTTTCGCAGTACAGTGCGGAGTGCGACGTAAGCCGCAGATTGAAATACGCTGCGAATTCGCTCAAACACATGTTTCGGGCTGTGATAACTGCGGTAACAGGAAACCCCTCAAACATATTGGTTGAAGGCCGTTCCATGTTTACTTTCCCGGTCTTACAACAAGTGTAGCTGAAATTCATTCAAGGTTTTGGGTCCCAGAGGCAGTCATGCATATTCTAGACATCTGATCCGTCATTTTATTGTAACAACCGTTTTAACTATGCCTTGCAATGTTTATTATGTATAAATATTCAGTCGTAAATAGGCCCATTGCCTTACTGTCATAGAGACCAATTATCACCGACTTGGAAGAACAGGAAGGCTCTGCTCTTCATAGGCCTCGGCTCCAATTTTTGATTACAGAACACGCTTGTGCCGCTATTTATTTTTGTTTTCACAGCTTCGATATTTGTTTGTTTATCTTCATAAAAAACGTCATCGTGATAGTGATACGCGGTGAGATAGATAGTTATGAGTTGGCTGTAGACGTCAGTTAAAACCACTTTCGGTTGGATTCGAAAAGCTCGAACTAGATTTCAAATCCAGATCTTTTTATCCAATAACAAGATTTACATTTCTTCGTTACCAACCGCAAGAGCCGCAAGGGAATTCTGGAAGAAAGTATATCTTAGACATAAATAGTTACATCTGATATCTCAAATGTATTCAAAAAAGAAGATCTAGCCTACCACAAATGATAGTAGGTTCTGAGCATTGTAGTCTTTTGAAGTTTTATGGAAGGGAGGTACTGGGAGTGGAAGGACCCAAGCGGTGCATTCACGTTCTCTGCGGCAAGCTTCTGCATCGGACTCCGGCCCTTAAATGTCCCATTTTCACTGAAGCAAGTCCCTTATCATGAAGAAAACATGCACTTGTGGTGCGCTTTTTACAGGGTGATAAGGAAATGGGGTTAATTAAGTGGGTGATACTAATACGCAGGCGAGGAAGAAATCATAAAAGTTTAAATTCAAGTTTAACTACACCCCTGTAGGTTTTAGTTGGATTTTATATTTCGTAAGAAATATAGTACACATTTTTTAAAATGAAGACATTATTTATAAACGAACTTAAAACAAGATAATTTTGATTTTAATCAAAACTGTTTCCAAATTGGTAACCAAAATGTAATTTTGACAATTTCAAGATTATGATAAATGTCTTGCTTGAGGAAATTCTTTCTACGTTCATTTGGGTGATCGATTTGTTTTTCATTGAATCTAGTAATATTTGTATTGTATTTTATATTTATTAATGGTAATTTTTATTTATTAGTATCCTTATGTTTTTATATTTTCCATATTATGGGCTTTTTCCTGGCAAAAATCTCGTAGTTTTGTCACCCTATTTTGGTCACCCTGTGACTCGCTTTCCAGGCACCAAGGCACCCAAGCGGCGGCACATCCATCCCCGGC